GAATATTTTTCGCACAGGGCGCCTAAAGGCCTAAGGTCGGCCCTGACTATACAGATTCCCCCTGGACCAATAAGGAAGGGGGAACATGACTGCTGCCCTAGATGGTGGGCAGGGTCAACGAAGATACAATGTTGCTAAGGTTGGGGGGTTTCTTAAAGAAAGGGAGAGGGAGGGGACTTACCAGTTGGCAGGATCAGTTGAGGGCTCCCTCCCTGTTTCTGGTGTTGTGGCTTGTGTCTTGTGTTGTTGTTTTGTGTTGTCACAGCTTGGCAGTTTCCCTGGACAGCGCAGAGGAAGAAAGGAACATTGGGGAGACGACAGCCGGCACGGAGCTGATGGCGAGGAGCTGGCTGTCGAGGCTCATGGTACCAAATGCGTGTGAGAACTGCCTGGTGGGCAAACACCCAACAGCTGGCAGATTTGGACTGAGTTAAATTGTTAATTTAAATAAAGCTGTGGCCGTTGCCCTTATCCACAAGAATGAGGTGTCCCATGTATCATTGGGTTGTTGGTGGGGACTGGTTGGGTCAGCAGTCATGTACTATACTACACTGTATTATTCCCATACTATACTGTACTATACAGTAATATAGCCATGCTACACTATACTGTAATATATTGTACTACACTATACTGTAATATTGCCATACTACACTATACTGTACTGTAATATTGCCATACTATACTGTACTGTACTATACGGTAATATTGCCATACTATACTATACTGTACTCAGTGGTGTATTCTGGATTTGTGCTGCCCTAGGCAGGACAAAACACAGGCGCCTCCCCCCCCCCCGCACCATCCCACCCTTACCCCCCTGCTCTGCCTTCTAAATACACACACACTCACTAACAGACACATACAGTCACTAGCAGACACACACATTCACTAACAGACACAGATACACTCTCACTAACAGACACACACATAGTAACACACTCACTAACAGACACACACTCACTAACAGACACACACTCACACACACTAACAGACACACACTCACTAACAGACACACACACACACTATACTGTAATATTCCCATACTGTACTATACTATACTGTACTATTGCCATACTATACTATACTGTAATATTGCCATACTATACTATACTGTACTATATTGTACTACGCTATACTGTACTGTAATACTGCCATACTACACTGTACTATACTATACTGTACTGTACTATACTGTAATATTGCCATACTATACTATACTGTACTATATTGTACTACACTATACTGTAATGTAATACTGCCATACTACACTGTACTATAATATACTGTACTATACTGTAATATTGCTATACTGTACTGTACTATCCTGTACTACAGTCATACTACACTATACTGTACTATACTGTACTAGAGCCATACTATACTGTACTATACTATACTGTACTACAGCTATACTATACTATACTGTAATTGTGGCGGAACCACTGCCTGTTAGTGACTTGCTGTATGTCATTCCCCATAATTTTCCCCTATATTGTATGTATTCTTGTGGTTTACCTACTCCTGGCAGTCCCCATATGAACGAGTTCTGTTCGCCTCCTGAACGGGGATCACATCGATACCCCATTTAGAATGTTTGTTTGGAATGTTCACACCTCGTTAGAATGTTCGCACCTAGTCAACGAGGTGTGAAAACCAGACACCGCAAGTGAAGCCTCGGCGTGTGACAACCCTTGGTGGCGGCCCGTTCGTTAAACAAAAGCCATTCAGGGGGAGCATTCGCGGATTGCTTCTGACCTTGTTCGGATCCCGAACGAGGACCTCCCCAGCACCCTTGAAGTGTTCACACCAATCCATTAGAACATTGGCAACTTGCAACATAAGTGTGAAACTGCCAGGAAAGTAATTAATCAGCGCTTCCCTGGGTGGTAAACGTTCGTGTCCAAAAGGGAGAAGCAGCCCTTGCCTGGTTTCACCCAGGGACCCCTCAAACAGAGACGGTTGATGTTGTGGGGGTCCCTGAGATTGCTGGGGACACTCTGCGGGGACAATGCCAGTTTGGCGGGCTTTTTGTGCCTGGGGGCCCAGAAGGCAGGAGCTTTTCACGCGCTGCGACTCATAGGTACATAGGGTTCAGGGAAAAGACCCCCTCCCTGCCACGGGAAGTAGGAAACCCTGTATTTGGGTGGCAGGAACTGGGGACAAAGGAACTGGAGTTCCTATCCCTGCAAAGGCCCCTGGGAGAGGACACTGAGTGGCGGGAACAAGGGACAAAGGGATTGGGTTTCCGGTTCCGTTATACGACCCTGGAAGGGGACATTGGCTGTATGAGTGATCCACCCCTTGCATGGGGAAAGTATAAAGCCAAGGGTGGCCAATGAAGTGGTTGTTGTACCCCTGGAACTGTGTCATCCGGTTACTGGGGAAAATGGGTCTCTTACTTCATTAATAACGAGGGTAACCAGCCAGGTTACCTACGGCCCGCTACAACTGGTGGCAAGCGGCGCGATCCTACGTCCCAGCCAAACAGACCCATGGACTATACGTCCCTAAAACTACCAACATTACAAGATCCTGGTAAAGAGAACGGGAATGAAGGAATTCGAAACCCACACCGTTATTTACCAAATACCAGATTTTCTCCAAAATGTGTAAACATCCAAATTCCATCCACTTTGGCAATGCTCATATTTACTTTTTTACCACTTGAGAAATCCCTAAGGGGAGAAACGTGTTGTGGTTTTTATGTTTTTGTTAAATAAAGTAATTTGGCTATCTCACTACCTGCCTTTTAGCCATATATTTTTAGAACTTATTATTTATTTATTTTTATACCTTTACCTGACATCTGGACCCATTACCTACTGCGGAAAACCAACAAAAGAAATCCTTGGTGGGGATAATACCACCCAGGCTTGATACATAGAGCGGTTAGTCTGCTCACTCTATTGTAAGTATATTTTTATTTACCTTATTGATACTTAACTATCTATATAGAGAGTACTATTAGCTGCTTTTTTGTCATTCCATGTGATCTACCTCATCGTTATCCCGTAGTGATTTACTACCATTCTACAGTGTACCAAAACCAGAGGGATATCCTGCAAGTAGGGATTGTATACCACTGCATGCTGTTTTACCTAGAGCTGGTTATAACTGTGCCATATGTGAGTTGACATCTTATCTAAGGGTCGTTTGTCCTACTACGTACTACCATATTGCACTATTGGTTTGCCTCTGTTTTTGCTTCCTTTTCATATTCTGCTATTAAGCAAAGCTACCAAACAAGTCCCATACCAGGACTAGAACATCTATTGCCACCTTTGAGACTGTGCCGTGCCATTTGGTATTTTTTATTCTTTTAAGTTTTATATTGTGTGTTTTTATTGCTCTTAGTATATACCATTGTGTTTGGAGTATTTTTCTTGGAGCTACCTGTATATTGTTGTTTTCATATTTACTAAAGCCAAAAGCGCTCAGGATTCTGTGGGTCAGACTGATTTTGTAACATTGGTTTGGATGAGTTTGGAATATTACTAATATCAGCATCAGGACCAATTTACAGCTCCAGAATTGGAGATTTATAAGCAACCACATGGCGGCCAGTGATAAAATGAATGGATCTGGCAGTATGCATGTTCACAAATTATCATTCACTTCCTATTTGTGAGTCAATTGATCATTTGAAGAATTTCTGCCGCTGGAAGATACCCTATTCTGTGCAGTACAGGATCCCAGACACCCTGCTCTGTGTATCACAGGATCCCAGACACCCTGCTCTGTGTATCACAGAATCCCAGACACCATGCTCTCTGTATTACAGGATCCCAGACACCCTGCTCTCTGTATTACAGGATCCCAGACACCCTGCTCTGTGTATTACAGGATCCCAGACACCATGCTCTGTGTATTACAGGATCCCAGACACCATGCTCTGTGTATTACAGGATCCCAGACACCATGCTCTCTGTATTACAGGATCCCAGACACCATGCCCTGTATTACAGGATCCCAGACACCATGCTCTGTGTATTACAGGATCCCAGACACCCTGCTCTGTGTATTACAGGATCCCAGACACCATGCTCTCTGTATTACAGAATCCCAGACACCATGCCCTGTGTATTACTGGATCCCAGACACCCTGAACTCTGTATTACAGGATCCCAGACACCCTGCTCTCTGTATTACAGGATCCCAGACACCATGCCCTGTGTATTACAGGATCCCACACACCCTGCTCTCTGTATTACAGGATCCCAGACACCTTGCCCTGTGTATTACAGGATCCCAGACACCCTGCTCTGTGTATTACAGGATCCCAGACACCCCGCTCTCTGTATTACAGGATCCCAGACACCATGCTCTCTGTATTACAGGATTCCAGACACCATGCTCTCTGTATTACAGGATCCCAGACACCCTGCTCTGTGTATTACTGGATCCCAGACACCATGCTCTCTGTATTACAGGATCCCAGACACCATGCTCTCTGTATTACAGGACCCCAGACACCATGCTCTCTGTATTACAGGATCCCAGACACCATGCTCTGTGTATTACAGGATCCCAGACACCATGCCCTGCTCTCTGTATTACAGGATCCCAGACACCATGCTCTGTGTATTACAGGACCCCAGACACCCTGCTCTCTGTATTACAGGATCCCAGACACCCTGCTCTCTGTATTACAGGATCCCAGACATCATGCTCTCTATTACATGATCCCAGACACCCTGCTCTCTGTATTACTGGATCCCAGACACCATGCTCTCTGTATTACAGGATCCCAGACACCATGCTCTCTATTACATGATCCCAGACACCCTGCCCTGTGTATTACATGATCCCAGACACCCTACCCTGTGTATTACTGGATCCCAGACACCCTGCTCTCTGTATTACAGGATCCCAGACACCCTGCTCTCTGTATTACAGGATCCCAGACACCCTGCTCTCTGTATTACAGGATCCCAGACACCATGCTCTGTGTATTACAGGATCCCAGACACCATGCTCTCTGTATTACAGGATCCCAGACACCATGCTCTCTGTATTACAGGATCCCAGACACCCTGCCCTGTGTATTACAGGATCCCAGACACCCTGCCCTCTGTATTACAGGATCCCAGACACCCTGCTCTCTGTATTACATGATCCCAGACACCCTGCTCTGTGTATTACAGGATCCCAGACACCCTGCTCTCTGTATTACAGGATCCCAGACACCCTGCTCTCTGTATTACAGGATCCCAGACACCATGCTCTCTGTATTACAGGATCCCAGACACCCTGCCCTCTGTATTACAGGATCCCAGACACCCTGCTCTCTGTATTACAGGATCCCAGACACCCTGCTCTCTGTATTACAGGATCCCAGACACCCTGCTCTCTGTATTACAGGATCCCAGACACCCTGCTCTCAGTATTACAGGATCCCAGACACCATGCTCTGTGTATTACAGGATCCCAGACACCCTACTCTCTGTATTACAGGATCCCAGACACCCTGCTCTCTGTATTACAGGATCCCAGACACCATGCTCTCTGTATTACAGGATCCCAGACACCCTGCCCTGTGTATTACAGGATCCCAGACACCCTGCCCTGTGTATTACAGGATCCCAGACACCCTGCTCTCTGTATTACATGATCCCAGACACCCTGCTCTGTGTATTACAGGATCCCAGACACCCTGCTCTCTGTATTACAGGATCCCAGACACCCTGCTCTCTGTATTACAGGATCCCAGACACCATGCTCTGTGTATTACAGGATCCCAGACACCATGCTCTCTGTATTACAGGATCCCAGACACCATGCTCTCTGTATTACATGATCCCAGACACCATGCTCTGTGTATTACAGGATCCCAGACACCCTGCTCTCTGTATTACAGGATCCCAGACACCCTGCTCTCTGTATTACAGGATCCCAGACACCATGCTCTCTGTATTACAGGATCCCAGACACCCTGCTCTCTGTATTACTGGATCCCAGACACCATGCTCTGTGTATTACAGGATCCCAGACACCATGCTCTCTGTATTACAGGATCCCAGACACCCTGCTCTGTGTATTACTGGATCCAGACACCCTGCTCTCTGTATTACAGGATCCCAGACACCCTGCTCTCTGTATTACAGGATCCCAGACACCCTGCCCTGTGTATTACAGGATCCCACACACCCTGCTCTCTGTATTACAGGATCCCAGACACCCTGCTCTCTGTATTACTGGATCCCAGACACCCTGCTCTCTGTATTACAGGATCCCAGACACCATAGTCTGTTCAGTGACTGATGGCAGACTCAGCTCATTTCCCTTCTAATTGGCCTCTTTACTTCCTGTAACATGTGACCTCTCCAATCATGTGATATTAGTGACATCACGTGGACTTTCTCTGGCAGGAAGTTGCCCTGCTCCCAGCATGCCCCACGTGCTGGAGGTCAGTGAGAGCACCAGGTTAGTGTCTGTGAGCAGGGAAAGGGTTAATAACCCAGTGTAACAATGTTTCCTTATTATACACAGTGTAACAATGTTTCATTATTATGCACAGTGTAACATTGTTTCCTTATTATACACAGTGTAACATTGTTTCATTATTATGCACAGTGTAACAATGTTTCATTATTATGCACAGTGTAACAATGTTTCATTATTATGCACAGTGTAACAATGTTTCCTTATTATACACAGTGTAACAATGTTTCATTATTATACACAGTGTAACATTGTTTCCTTATTATACACAGTGTAACATTGTTTCATTATTATGCACAGTGTAACAATGTTTCATTATTATGCACAGTGTAACATTGTTTCAGTATTATGCACAGCGTAACAATGTTTCATTATTATGCACAGTGTAACAATGTTTCATTATTATACACAGTGTAACATTGTTTCAGTATTATGCACAGTGTAACAATGTTTCATTATTATACACAGTGTAACATTGTTTCAGTATTATACACAGTGTAACATTGTTTCATTATTATACACAGTGTAACATTGTTTCATTATTGTACACAGTGTAACATTGTTTCATTATTATACACAGTGTAACATTGTTTCATTATTATACACAGTGTAACATTGTTTCATTATTATACACAGTGTAACATTGTTTCATTATTATACACAGTGTAACATTGTTTCATTATTATACACAGTGTAACAATGTTTCATTATTATACACAGTGTAACAATGTTTCATTATTATGCACAGTGTAACATTGTTTCAGTATTATACACAGTGTAACAATGTTTCATTATTATGCACAGTGTAACATTGTTTCAGTATTATGCACAGTGTAACAATGTTTCATTATTATGCACAGTGTAACATTGTTTCAGTATTATGCACAGTGTAACAATGTTTCATTATACACAGTGTAACAATGTTTCATTATTATACACAGTGTAACATTGTTTCATTATTATACACAGTGTAACATTGTTTCATTATTATACACAGTGTAACAATGTTTCATTATTATACATAGTGTAACATTATTAGTTTATTATTATTATTTCATTAACTGATTTAATATATTCTCACATTATTATTTATAATAAATAGTATATTATACAGTAAGGCATCAAACTATATGGAATATTTATTTGTATTTTTATACTGTGATAGTTATTAAGCAATATGTATTATTTCATTGAAACTTTATAAAGTGAATATGTCACTCAGATTGTGTCACAGTGCAGGGTGAAGCATGGGCATGCACTAGGCCTGTTTGTAAGCTGCTACCTAAATAAATATCTAAAAAAAATAAAATGTTAATCAAACTAGGAACTGTTGAGACCAGACTGGGAAATTTTATGCCAAAAAACGCTGATTTGGAGAAATAACCAATATATTTATTCATGATATTTCTAATTGTAGTGAATCTTGAGATATTATATATATATATATTTAAAAATAGCTGATTTGGGCAAATTCTTGGGTAATTCAGATTTCAATTTACTACAATTTGACATTCAGTGATCCTATACCTGAACTGGAAAATTCCTCCAAATCAGCTATTTTAATCTGCAATTCACTTCTCAGCTCTGTACAATTATTGGTTTAGTAAATAATGTCAGAATATAGTTATATTAAATTTCAGTATTCAAACCCTTCTAATTTGTCACAAAATCGATTTGTACACTTTTTATTCTTCTCTGGTTTGCCACACTGCTTACAATGTACTGGACCTACGGTAGTATGATATAATTATTTACATGTTCTTACTGGAGGAATATGCGTGATTAACTTCATCATAGATACATTATCTTCATAGTTGATTTCATCATAGATAGAGCACTCCTCCCAAGAGCTTACAATCCAAAGTTTGCATGTGTAGGATAGCTAACCATGACTTTGCTGCAATTTACTAATAGCATTTTCTGTCTATCAGGTTCAATGAACATGGCGAGTCCATTTATATCTCGGTTACTTGTGTTCACTCAGAGGTACAGAGGGAGGCTTCTAGCCATTTCTTGTACTGGGCTCTTTACTGCCAGTATATCATATCATGTGTTTCCGGAGCAGACCTTTCGGAGGCTGTATCAGAGCTGGTCCAAAGGTGAACCAGTAGAGCTGAGTAATAAGCTTCAGACACTTTTCCAGGATGTCCTACAAGAAGCCTGCATTGCATCCCCATCAGGTTACACGCCATTTGCAGCCTTTGGATTTCACCCCGTGAGTGCTGGCCTGCCCTTGCTTCCAGGCAGATGTTTAATTGGAATACCCGCTAATTATAACACAAACGAAGCAGGTGGGCCAGGTATTGTAGACCGCGTCCTGTTGGTGAACGGGAAGGAAGTGGTCTGGGACAGTGAGATTGGCGCACATCTAAAAGCCTCCTTAATTTTATCAACCGAAGCTCAGAAGTTTGCGCTGGCACGGGAAGCATTATATGCCCAAAATAACAGTCCTGTTATAAAAGCTTCAGTGGCGCCTGCTTGTTTATCGGGTGTCTGTCTTTGCGGAGTGGCAGTAAAACAACTTCTCGGCATCTATTCTGGGCCTGTGGTATTACGGGGACTGTACAATATGGGTGCACTGTTGCTTGGATTTGTTGTTTACTTTCTTTGCGATGATGCCATCTCTCAGTGGTTAGACTACAGGACTGACCGACAAGTGGCTGCAATTTCTAAATCCTATGCCCAGGGCGGACTGGAGTTTTATGACAAAATACTGGCTCGTAATAGGAGCTTGAGGACTCTCATGGGGAAGCAAGGAGAAACCATGTATGCGCCAAGTGGCAACTTGTTTCCCAAACATTATTTTAGGGTAAAACACACCCCCTACACTGCCAGACGACATCGTATTCAGCAAGATTTGAACATTCAAGGAGAGTGATCCCCACCAGGGACAGTTAATCCGCTGTTGGATGATCACACCTAACTCGAAAACTCAAGAAGTAAAGTGGACGTTAGTCATAAAAGAAATGTAAATGTGTACATTGCATATTTCTTCAGCAGCTGTGATTCAAATGTGAACCATGTTTATATCTATTAAAGCTTATTTTGGTGAAATTTCATGTTTTTTTGTTTTTTTTTAGCCATCTTTCTATTAACTGTTAAATCCTCTCCTCTCTGTGCTGTTAGTTTGAAGCCTGGCAGGGAAGAAGCAGGATGGAGTGTTTAGTGGCTGTGTATGGCTCCCCTGCTTCCCCAACACTAAACAGCAGAAACATTGCATGGCCATCTCCTTTCCCTGCTGCCAATAGAGGCAAACTGGAGCAGGAGAACAGGGAGGTTTGATCAGCTTGTGACTGACTGTGTCTGTAAGTATGTCACTTTATTGTTTGTCTATGTGTGTGACTGTGTAATGGATAGTGTGGCCCCTGGCATTATCTATATCTGTGGTGGCCACTTCACCTCCTGCCCAGCAAATATTACCATGAGTTGTGTAGGAGCTAGGAAATGGAAAGCATGTCTCCCCCCAGCAGACAAATGCATTTCAAGTACTTAGCTGGGCAGGAGATACATCGGCTTTCTCGTGTGATGTCTGAAATCTAACAGGTTAGCAGTTGATAATTGCTATATGTATCATACAGTGTGCAGAGAGACAGAAAAGGCATTGTGCTATAAGTTCCAGTTCTAGTGCTTGGAGTGTCCACATTTATTTATTTAATTCTATACCCCTTGCTTTTTCATATTCGTTTACTTCCCTTTATTTCACATTCTCCATGTAAATCCCATTCTCCCTCCCAAACAGCAGAGCTGCTCCCCATCACACCTGTTGACATCTGCTGCTTGCCCATTGGTATTGGCCGCCGTTTTCCTCCTTGATTCTCTTCCACCCGATAAAATTCCCTTTCCCTTACGTGATATAAAGTCTGTGAATTAAGGTGCCAGGTGTTTTCTGTTGTTGTTGTAAGCATTATTTGGGTTCCCCAACTTAATGACTGCCATGTGGCTTATTGTAATCAAGTGTAACTAGTTATAGGCTTGTTGCAACTGTATCATTCATTTACACTTCCATGCCCAGGATAATGGGAGAATGGCATCACTGGTGGCGCTCTCTCCACAGCTTTGCCATCACGTCTCCCATAAGCAATCATTTTCGTGAGTGCATTACCCCTTCATCCATAAAGAAATCAAAAAAGCTAAATTTTATTTAGACACTGCAATTCAGTTTAACCTTTTACAACCCAGAAAAACAGTAAGTGCATGGCAGAGAGTTCTGGGAGTAGATGTTCCCTAACTGTTGGATGGCTGATAATGGAATACTCCTGGAAAAGTCGGTAATGGAGAAAAGATTTCTGTAAATACTCTCTCAAGATTATGAAGATAAGACAAACTAACGGCTCATGGCAGTTTCAGTATGAAAGTATTCATTCATTAACTGGAAGAGGGAGAATTTATAGATTCTAGAGTAACTGTATTTCTGAATGAACCTTGTGTAAATTTTTATTTATTTTTTTAAACCCATTTTCCCTCGTATTTTTTTTACTTGTGTCGGTGTGCTGACTGACATCTCGGAGTTTATCATATTGTGTATTTTTAGATATTAGTTCATCTTCAACATGATTGATGTGAATTCGCCACATAGCAGCCATAGTTATGTTAATCTGTGGTTTTTCTGGTTACTGACCAAACTCAAATTCTTACTGTATTGTCATTCATTAAATACCTCTGCAGACAATCAAAATACAGGTTTAATACGAATAACTGTTTTTTTTTTTCTTGTTTTTTTTCTCACCCCAGTTTCTCCCAGCAGTTTGACAGTAAAATGCATAAAGATCAAATCTTTTAATGTCCCTGTGTCACGTTTAATAAGTCATTACCTCTCAAACTCAGAGTATTTACAACTGAATAAAATTGTAGCTTCATTATTACAGATTTATCCAGCATCACTTTCACTACTTGACTGCTGGTTAGACTGTTTGTTTTTGTTTTTGTTTTTTTAATTATAATTATTATTCTAAGAATTAATCAGTCTTTGGCAATTACCCCAAGGTTTCAATGGAAGAAGTGCTATCCGGTAACCAGTGTGACGTTTATCTCGTCCTCGGTGCAAGCCGTAGAAAGCCTGTATTTATTAACCAGTAGCTGTATAAAGATATATTCTGACATCACAGTCTCTCATCAGAGCAGAGCACAGGTTAAGAAACAAAAGCTATGAAAATCTGTCTATGATAAGAACAAATCTGTTGTGCTTATGTTCTTGTAATTTTATTTTTTTGTTTCCTTTTTCTAATACACCCCATTTCTATAAAACCGAGGCCCATATTGTACAGTAGTCCCTCATTTGCATATCAATTACTATAACTTATGATCAAGACCCGATCTGAAAGGAACAGAACCACTTTAAGCATTTCAATGACAGGAATATTGTTTATATAATTAAAAAGTACATAGGTGTATATTTTATTATTTATTTTATATCAATTAATTTACTCACTTATTTTGATTTAGATCAGTAGTTCTTAACCCGATATTAAAGGCACACCAAGAGCCCAGTATTTCAGAATTCCTAGCTTGGTCCCAATCCTGAGAACACCTGGAGTGTGCCTTGATGACTGGGTTAAGGACCACAACCAATTTTGTTTGTATCTCCCAATCCAAATGGACCAATAATTTTTGCTGGTGCAATTAGAGCATTGGAGTTTTTCCCAGATCTATTTGCACTGAGATTTTACTATTAATGACTGATGCTACCAACCACTTTCAGTCCTTTTGAGATACCTCCTTGACTTATGATCTAGACCCGATAGCAGTGCATTTGGATAGGTGCTATCATAATAATAGACTTTCTACAGTTATGGTCACATAACGTTGCCCAGTGGATTCCGTTTTGCTTATTGAGTTGGGCAACATAGCACGAATCATACCACCAACCACCTCCATGTTTGTCAGCACAGTTCTTATTGTGGCTTCGATCATTGTCACGGTCGTGGGTGGAAAACTTCATGTTGTCATGCATGTTTATGAGGGAACTGGAAGTCATAGAGTCACCGGCATCACCGCTGTAGGTGCCTAGTCGCAGCTGGTACCCGTGATCTTCATCCTTCACATAGATACTGTCATACTCTGCGTACCTGGTTGTGTTTTTAGAATCGACCAGAATAATCTTTACTTTGTTCCATTTCTGCACTGTTAGCAGGTGTATATAATAATGGCCAAGCCAATGGTCAGATGCCATGTTGCCGAACGTGAATTTGTATGTTTTCCAAGCCACACTCCACGTGATCTCCGTGTTAAAGCTATTCTTCTGGATAACCGTCCACCCACCACAGTCATGCATGTAGCACTGGACCACAATCATGATGGAGTTATCTGGCCGGATTATATAAAGACCGTTTTTACGGTAGCCCAGCTGGTAGAGTTCATCGCAGTCCCTGGCGAAAAAGACTGATATAAAGATGAATTTAGGTTTTATTATGCTTGATAAATATTAATAATTCATGAATATAAAAAATTCAATCTTGTAAAATGTATAATCTAAGCATTATTTATATGTTCTTAGTGTTGTCTCTAGCAAAATCCAAACTATATATGATACATAATATTAAATCATTTATTATGGGAAATAATGCCATTGAGGGGTCTGGAGACATCATGATAAACCACGAGACCGAGGGTGAATTCTTCAGAACTCTGTAAGAGCATAATCTTCTCATAATACATTATTCACCATTTTGTGTGTGTGTGTATATAATTGTAATTCTTTTAGGATTAGTGTTCATGCTAGTTAAAAGGCTGCAGTTCCTTTAATCTCAGGCACTAGGATATAGATATTCTAGTTTGTCAAACATTGGGGGGAGTAATTTTCAGCACCCAATATTAAAGGGAAACTCTATTTCCCTGAAAAATATATATATTTGTTTTAAAGCAAATTATTGTTGCAAAAAATATATATAAAATTCACACAAATGTTTGCTAATCTCTCTCTTTTGAAAAAAAAAACCTCTCTTTTTCTGCTAATGAAGATTTTCTTTTGCCCAGCGCTTCCTGTTTAAGCTGAGAATTGTTGAATCGTATGATTCTAACAGAGAAGCACGGTGGGGAATCTCCATTCCAAAGTTTTTTTTAGATTAGGTTTTGCCCGGATAAATGAAGCTCTGTAAAAATGGCTGAAATCCAGCCTGATTTCCGGCACTAGCTGCATTCGGTGCAAACTCTAACATCATTGCTTTTCAATTTGAACATTATGTATAGGGTTCCGACAAATTACTAATTTTAAAGAAACTTGGGTTCAAGTGAATCTAGGAAGGATGCACATTTACAAATTATTGCTTTTCCAAAAAAATGATAATTATCAGGACTGTTTGCCCAGCACTGTCCACCCTTATTACTGATTTAGAGTTGGAGTAACCCTTTAATTAAAATCGCTCCATGGCAGCATTCCTAAACTACTAAGGCTTCAAATTAAAGGGACGCTGTAGGCACTTTAAAAATGTCATCTTATTGAAGTTGTTATAATGCGTGCAGTACTGCCACTTGTCATACCGTTCAAAACCCAGTATTAAACAAAATAGAAGACTTGGAAGCGTGGCTTCAAGCCACGCCTCCAAGTCTGCTGGGTATGAGAGCTAGGAATCTTACTTCCCTGCTCTCATACCGTAATATACCGTGATGTCGCATGCGCCGTGCCTTCATGGTCAGCCATAGTGAATCCTTGAGTCAAGATTCTTTTCCAAAATATTAAAATATCAAAAATATATATAATGAAATGTATCAAAATATGAGAGAAGTTAAATATTTCTCTTTCATTTTATCATTTTAAAAGCAATTTTTCCCTTGCTGCACTGGTTTCGCCACAGCTGCCTCCATGGCTGAAATCACCAATCTTGATGATTTTAGCCAATATAATGCTTTACAATATGAAATACTATTGCACATGCGCGGCAAAACGCCACCCCGGCCAATCAGTTTCTGAATCAACGCATCTCTATGGGCAGCATTCAGCTTCTCCACGCAGTGTGTGAAGCCACTGAATGTATTAAGCCCGTCGGGTGGCCATCTGAGTGACTGCACTTAGAGATGTTACTTGGCAGCAATGGAAACACTGCCTTTTCTTTGAAATGGAGTGTTTACAGTGCTGAGCCTGCAGGGACAGGCTATAGACACCGGAACCAACCGATTTAACTGTAGTGGTTCTGGTGACTATAGTGTCCATTTAAATATTTACCGAAAAACAAATGTAAATGTCATAACCAATGTTTGTCCATCCAGCAATCCTTCACTTGTGTTAGGCAGATAAACCCCTTAACCCCTTAAGGACCAAACTTCTGGAATAAAAGGGAATCATGACATGTCACACATGTCATGTGTCATTAAGGGGTTAAACGCTGGAAAATGCTTTCTCAAGGAATTATTTACTAAACCGCAAGTTGTGGAGAATTGAAAACTTTTATATAACAGACTTTAACTAAAAGATTCTGAACTGAGTATTAGTGATTTTCATATTTTGCCATTTGGAATTACATTTGCCAATTCGATTTTTAGCCTGTTACAGTTCATTGTTTCGTAAATAAACCCAAGCGCTCTTTATTCCAGTGTGTGAGATTAAGAAGAATGCAAATCTAGACTTGAATAGAGATAGATGATTATGGTGCATAAAGCAACACATTCATTGGGAAATATACCTTTTCTCGCATACACATCTTTTAAGTTGATGATTTTCGTAACGTCTGGCACGTTCTCGATATTCTCAATATCCAAAGCTACCGTCCTGTTCGTGTTTGTCACCTCCTGAGCTGCCGCATAAAACATGCTCAAAGCAAAGACTGTGCATGTTACCCACATCCTGCAAAGGGTTGCCTTTCTCACCTGGGAAACATTATAAATATTGTCAATATTTTGAATACACCAGTCTGTGCTGTAGCGTTGTACAGCGTTTTTGCTCTGTAAAAATCTCTTTATTAGTTTCGTGAGAGACTCCTGCATATTACAATATTGCGTACACGTTGAGGAATGGATTGTGAAGGTAATTAGAAAATTGCAAAACGAGTTGAAAGTATTTTTGCCTAAATGTTTGCTAGTTAATTCTCAATTTACCATAATTCTCTGTATAAGCTGAAAAATAAAACATTTGCAATGTTCTTTTTTTGGAAGCAACTGACTCGCAGAGTTATCAGGAATTCAAAGCGAATTAAGTGATTTTAATATTGTAATCCAAGGTATCCCAAATGAACACAAATCAAGGTTGGAAAATATGGAAATTGTGACCTAAATTTTAAATAAATTTTCAATTCACTGTGATTCCTGACTGTACATACCTTGGTGACGAACTCACAAACACATCTTACATGCATTCATTATCTCCAGCCAATTAGAAAGAGACAGTAATCAATTAAACAATATACAATGGAACCTCGGAACTCGAACGATCCCTTAGCCAAACAATTCGGTAGTCGAACAAAAAATTTAAGTAAAAAATGTCTTGGTACACGAACGATTCTTGGTACCTAAACAAATAATGCCACAAACATGTTCAATTATAAAGCTATGTCTCACTTTAGACACATTTTAAATGTAACCTATCCACATCCAACCAAAAATATTTCTTCTCTTTCCCACTTACCCCATCAACTCTCATCATTTCTTTTCATTTACCATACATTGTGTTTTTTTTATATATGATTTTATGCATGTAATGTATTAACCTCGTTTTTCAATTTTCTTACCGTTAAGGACCAGGGCCGTTTTTTACATTTCTGCAGTGTTTGTGTTTAGCTGTAATTTTCGTTTTACTCATTTGCAGTTCCCACACATATTATATACTGTTTTGTTTTCGTAATTAAATGGTCTTTCTAAAGATACCATTATTGTCATCATATCAATGTATATATTTTTTAAAAGAAGACAACCTAAGGTATTAAACTTGGGGTATTTTGACTCTTTCATGCAGCCATTTTACCACCAATCCATGCCAAATAAAAAAAAAAAATTATTGGTGATTTTTTTTTTTTTGACACACACAGCAATTTAAGAATACATGTACGGAGGACTTTAAGGGTTACTGCCAAAGAACACCCCAATATGTGTTCAGCAACATCTCCTGAGTACAGTGATACCCCCCATGTATAGGTTTGTCTGGTTCTCTGGGGGCTAAAAGACCTTATTTGGAGGGTGCGCGTTCCAGTTTAACAACTTGGAATTTTTACAGCTGGTCATCATGCACCCATGTCCTATTTGAGACATTTCTGAAGCCGGCCAATGTAATTTACCCCCATCAAACCATATATTTTTGAAAAGTAGACACCCTAGGGTACTTCAAATGGTGGTATTTTAACACATTCCATGCACTAATTCTACCACCAGTCTTTGTCAACCTTTTGGGTAGTCATTTTTTTGTGTTGTTATTCTCTCACATTGTACTTTAGGCATGGATTCTCAGTTCCTGTTATTTGTTACTGACAAAGAACACCCCAATATGTTTTCAGCAATATCTCCAGAATATTGTATTCTGTTTTGTTTTTTTAATTCTTTATTTTTGTTGTGCTCTAGCGTGACATACATGCTTGTGAAGCCACAACAGCTATCTCAAGCTTCCATACATTAGGCATCAAGTATTCTGTTTGTTTTTGTTTTATTGACTTTATTGATTTTATTTGTCTTCACTGAGTGCCTTGAGGCACTCAGCACACAGGTAGAGCATCGGATGCCTGCCCAATGGCTTCCGATGCTCTGCTACATTGCTGGGCGCCACGTGGGGCAACCCGGGGGTGATCACTCACTCGGCACCTCGGCAGTCAGGAGAGGTATTGCAGGATGCCTAGTACGTCCGCGGTCCTTAAGGGGCTAAACTGTAAAATTTATGTTAAAATGCTTTAACTTTGGGTGTCTGGATCGGATTATTCAAATTTACATTTATTCTTATGGGAAATGTTGATTCTGTTCTAGACCAAATCGGAACTCGAAAAGCCTTCTGGAACAGATTAAGTTTGAGTTCCGAGTTTTCACTGTACTCTACACACAATTCAAGATAATAAAGTTACCCTCCATACACACCTTGTTATTTAAGATGACTTTTAGAAATATTTTATAAAGACTAGTTCCATATAGACTTTCCTGACAATTTAATACGTAAAATCTGGAAAAAAATTTAACCAATAAACAAAAACAAACCAAAAGGTCTACAGCATTTGGCCACATTGTAAGAGAATGGAGTGCATGCAGATCATGTTCTTTATTTAATTGTCATTAGTAGACTATTGGGGTAGTGTGGAGAGCTAATCAGGGATTTACACCTTGCATGCGATAATAGCCACATAGGACACATTTCTGCAGTTTATACGATTGTCAAATAGTGTGAAGTTTATGTTTTTAATCTGAAGTTGGGAATCATACTTTTTTTTTTATTACAGATTCACTGTCATCCTGATTAGTATTATTATTTTTTAAATCAATTTATAAATTCTAGAAATTAGAATATTAAAATATGAAAATAATTTTGCTCCTATGAGCTTACAGTCTGCGGTGATCTTATTTAATCCTGGAAAAGTGAGATACAGATACAAGACACTCACCTCAGGGACAATTCTGTGAAGAAAGACAAGAAAGTACCCGTGATTTCCCTTTTATATGGAATAATTCAACTTTCCTCATCGTTTATTTACTTGAAATTGTCTGTTTGTCAAGGAAACTGGTCCCTGAGCAGCTGGCTGGTGTGAATGTATTGTATTTTTACAAGTTTACCCAAAGGGCTACCAAGAGTAAGCACAAATATTGCAAAATTTATATTATAAGTGACGTGACTTTCATTTCGCTCATTAATCACTGAAAGAGTGGGATGAAAATAAATAATAAATATTTTTATTAGTGAACATTGTTATATGGCATTTAAAGGAACAGCAATATTTCCTATGGGCAAATTAATTAAAATATGATTTTAGAGTATATAATGTGACAGAATGTGATTAACATACCCCATGTCAGCACTGCACAGACCCCCAGGCATCCAGGCCCGAATAAATCTAATTATGAAAGATATCCTCGGCCTTCACTCTCTGGGATGATCTACTTATTCCTGGATAGATATATAATGCGTTATAATGTATGTATGATACAATGTGAAGTCCTGTGCTGCTAGCCTGGCTTTATATGTTTCCATAGTATGCGCTACTGATAGTGACAAGGTGAAATTTCGATCTGTTTATACATTATATATAGAGAGTGATAAAATATATTGGAGTTCATTCTATATCTGCTCTAATACAAAACAAGGACAGAATTCATTACTGATACCAGAATGGTAATGATCACGCCGTTACTGTATATACCTTCACTGTTGTAGCCTTGAATATTCTCGTTTCCAAAAAACAAAAACCAGTGTGAGGAGCATTTCAGGTAAATGTAATCTTTATTTTCTGGATTATAAGGGGGTTATAATGAATAATGTCCAGTGAGCTTTTTAAACGAAATAAAAAATGTATACAGAGAGTTGGAGTAACCCTTTAATGGGATTTAGGGCATCCAAACCCCAGGAGGAAGCGTGGCTAATTTCTGTCGCGGAACACTACCCAGTCCTGAGACAATATACGTTCAATATCATGAAAATATGGTTTTGCCTGGGAGCGTTTGAGGAAACTTAACTACAGTCTGGCATTACTTGATATAATGTGATTGCTGTTCTGTCTGGTACTTCTATTCAGTTTTTTTCTGTTTTCTATTTTTCTTTTTATAGACTGAAACATTGAGAAGAAAAAGGGCTTGTTTCCATGTTTGTCAGTAAAAAACAACAATTATTACACATTGTTAATCCTAACTGCCGATAGAGGTCTGTTGGAGTTAGAAAATAGAGGCAGATTGCCAAGGTTCACCCCTGATTTTAATATTTGCATTCTACGCATGTCAGCATCCACTGATACCGACGGCTACTGAGCGTTTACCTTTTTGCAAGTTTTGAAAATGATGCATTTTCCAATTAATTGCCAAAGCAATTACCCTAGACACTTTATATTAGTAAATGCACATTTTTTGCACTGATTAATTATATACATTAAAGCGACACTATAGTCACCAAAACAATTTTAACTTAATGAAGTAGTTTTGGTGTACAGATCATGCCTCTGCAGTCTCACTGCTCAATTCTCAGCCATTTAGGAGTGAAATCACTTTTTCTATACAGCCCTAGTCACACCTGCATGTGACTTATACAGCCTTCCCAAACACTTCCTGTAAAGAGTCATCTAATGTTTACACTTCCTTTATTGCGAATGCTGTTTAATTTAGAATTTCTTATCTCCTGTTCTGATAATAGATTGCTAGACCCTGCATGAGCCTCATGTATGTGAGTAAGGTTCAACTTACAGAGCAGGAGATAAAAACATTTAACGGAAGCGATGTCTGATTGGAAAATAAACCATTTTGTTTTCATGCAAGCTGTGTCAAAGGTGTGACCAGATCTATACACCCAAACTGCTTAATTAAGCTAAAGTTGTTTTGGTAACTATAGAGTCCCTTAAAATAATGTGAATTTTTGGAAATAGATTTCCATTTAAATGTAAATATAGATTAAATGTATTTTTTTTTTTTTTTTATTAATGTAGGACCATGAAAACTGCCAGTAATCGCTAACAGGAATATCTATTTTAGCAATTATTGTAGCTGTATGATTGCAGCAAGAAGAAAGATTCTGGAGTTCAATATTTTCTAGTATGGTCAGATGCAAACCTATGTATGTGACGTCCTTTCAATGTACAAGGCTGTTAGTCTTATGATTCAGCCGACAGAAATTAACCCTATCGTGGGGGCGGGGCCTAGCCGCCGAGTAGACTGGTTACTTTAAACAAGAGCTCCGTGTGAAAACCCGCTATTAAGCTACCATATTGACAAGTACCACAACAAAATTAAATTTTTAGAGCAGGAGACTATCGGTGGTACCTCGAGTCTCAACCTGTGGGGCTTTTACAATCTACAAAGCAACCAGATACTGGCAACAAATTGCGGCCTTCCAGCGGATGCAAGCGTGGGAGGACCGGCCGATGTCCCTGTTGGCTGTTCTGCTAGAAAAAGCTGAGGCGACCGGGACACCCGTTTCCCCCCCAGCCGGTGGGGGTTATCCCGGCACAACTATACAGGCTCTGCTTACAAGCAATGAGGGAAACAGAGTAACTCACCTACTCCTGTTGATTACACACGGCCACGAGACCAAAGCCAAGATGATGGCTGAGGTGCCTAATACAGCAACACGAGGCCTTCTGGAAACGTTTGAAGAGCAACTGGATGCCCTCTTTCAGGATTTCTGGCAGAAACTATGGAGCACAGGAGCACAAGATATGAGAAAGTGGCAGGTATCTGACCAGCGGTAGAACTCGCCTCCTGACCCTCTATACCTCACAACTGACCAGCCTCGGAGACCACTAACAGCTCCTAAATCGGTGAAGCCAAAGAAATTAACCCTATCAATAAATAAATTATTTTTACAGATCAATAGGCACAGGCGTTAATAGAAGCCAAATTCATACTTAGCAGAGTGACGATCATCTGACCAAATTGCTTCTTATTATAATTCCTTGTGGATAATTTATTTATATCAGTGATTTGTTATGCAGCATGTATATCACATTGTGTTATTTAAGCTGTTTCATATTTAATGATAAGAACATTCACTTCTTAAAGGTACATTCAATAAGTTTTTTTTTATTTTTTTATTGTTCAGTAGATTTCTTTCCTCCAGGAGTATTCAATGAGCTGTGTTACACTGTATAACAGTTCACTGAGAAGTGTGTGAATGGCGAGTGCTGCGATCGGCCTTGAGCCTCACTTCTGTTTACAATCACAAAATGAACGAGGCCGGAGACCCTCCAATTTGTCTGACTGGCAGCAGGGAAGGTGCGACAGAGGTTTTTTACAAAAACGCCGGTTTATCTTGATTGGCACTTTTCTAAAATAAGTCTGCAGGGACAGGAACATTATTCATACGGCTTTAGGTGCTGTGAGTATTCTTATAATGTTTTCTGGAAATGAAACCACTTAACAAATCACTGAAAGTAACCTATAAAGTGTGATGACTATTTTCATTCTTTTAAAAATTTAGCAAATTACACAATCCAGTTCAGTCCTGGTACAGCCAGGGCACATATTGTACAGGAGGAGGAGAAACTGCAACATTGTTTCATGTCTCCTCTTCTCTTTATGCTCTCTCTATACTGACTGCCAGGTGTAAAGGGTGGAGCTTATAACAATGATTGACAGGGAGCTAAGATGGAGGTGTCTCTCTCTCTATACTGACTGCCAGGTGTAAAGGGCGGAGCTTATAACAATGATTGACAGGGAGCTAAGATGGAGGCGGCTCTCTATATACTGACTGTCAGGTGTAAAGGGCGGAGCTTATAACAATGATTGACAGGGAGCTAAGATGGAGGTGGCTCTCTCTATACTGACAGCCAGGTGTAAAGGGCGGAGCTTATAACAATGATTGACAGGGAGCTAAGATGGAGGTGGCTCTCTCTATACTGACTGCCAGGTGTAATGGGCGGAGCTTATAACAATGATTGACAGGGAGCTAAGATGGAGGCGGCTCTCTCTATACTGACTGCCAGGTGTAATGGGCAGAGCTTATAACAATGACTGACAGGGAGCTAAGATGGAGGCGGCTCTCTCTATACTGACTGCCAGGTGTAAAGGGCGGAGCTTATAACAATGATTAACAGGGAGCTAAGATGGAGGCGGCTCTCTCTATACTGACTGCCAGGTGTAAAGGGCGGAGCTTATAACAATGATTGACAGGGAGCTAAGATGGAGGTGGCTCTCTCTATACTGACTGCCAGGTGTAAAGGGCGGAGCTTATAACAATGATTGACAGGGAGCTAAGATGGAGGTGGCTCTCTCTATATTGACTGCCAGGTGTAAAGGGCGGAGCTTATAACAATGATTGACATGGAGCTAATATGGAGGTGGCTCCCTCTATACTAACTGCCAGGTGTAAAGGGCGGAGCTTATAACAATGATTGACAGGGAGCTAAGATGGAGGTGGCTCTCTCTATGCTGACTGCCAGGTGTAAAGGGCGGAGCTTATAACAATGATTGACAGGGAGCTAAGATGGAGGTGGCTCTCTCTATACTGACTGCCAGGTGTAAAGGGCGGAGCTTATAACAATGATTGACAGCGAGCTAAGATGGAGGTGGCTCTCTCTATACTGACTGCCAGGTGTAAAGGGCGGAGCTTATAACAATGATTGACAGGGAGCTAAGATGGAGGTGGCTCTCTCTATACTAACAGCCAGGTGTACAGGGCGAAGCGTATAACAATGATTGACAGGGAGCTAAGATGGAGGTGGCCATCTCTATGCTGACTGTCAGGTGTAAAGGGCGGAGCTTATAACAATGATTGACAGGGAGCTAAAATGGATGTGGCTCTCTCTATACTGACTGCCAGGTGTAAAGGGCGGTGTGACGAGAGCAATCTCGACACATTGCATTGGAGGAGCCTGGTTGCCCGCGTGCTCCCTTTAGACTATGGACCGGACTTTTAACATACTTTATTTTCCCTGCAGAAAGGCTTATTCATGCCTTTCTGCCAGGGCGTTCGGTAGATTTTATCTACCGAA